GTGTGCGTTCACCGGTTCAATTCTCATGTCCGCTTGAGTTCACTTTGATCGTGGGTATTGCGAGTTTTCAGTTGGTAGAAACAGACCACTTATCGATTGGGCACTTACACTACTGTGTACAGCCACATACTTCCTATTTCTTTAACTTGCCTGACTTCTTTCCGAGTATTATCGTGTTGCACGGACAAAAAACGTTCCCTATGTGATTGGTTATATTAAAAAAAAATAAATAAATAAATAAAATGTGCTCGCAAGCGCTCCCAGCCAGAATTGTTTTTCCCTACAAAATTTCGAAAATAAATTGAATTTTTAAAATCGATTTTATGAAAAAAGACATATATAAATTTGAAACGGCACAGCGATTCCATTTTGAACATAGTCATGTTTGAAAGTATCGTATAATCATATGAATATTCATCCCACACAGTCATCACAATTTTAATGGGCAAAAATCTAAGCTATAACCAAATATACGCTTAATTAATTGAAAATTTAGAAGTTTTTAAATTTGTTTTTTTTTTCTTTTTTATTGCTTTGCTTCCGCCTTTTTCAATAGAATTTTAATTATACGCGTTAAAGATATTGCAACCATTGATTGTCATCTTATTAAGGACGCAATAAATTTTGCAATTTTTTCATTTAAAATAATAAAAAAAAATATATAATTTAAATAAGATAATGTGTTTTGTGTGTGTTTGAACCATCTGCAATCATCTTTAAACGTCATATGTAAATTGTATTGAAAAAAAATGAAATTTTAGAAAGATATACTGCTCGATTAATTTAATCCTTAAGCCTCTATAGATCGGTTTTTTTTTCTCTTTTTCAAGTCTCAAATTTGCATAAACAGTTGAAGAACTCAGACAGTTGGCGCGTACGCCACAAAAATCGACAGGGTTTGCCTACAGATAATCGGCGATGAGGATAAAAAATCCGATAGTCGTGAAAGTCATCCAATTTTCAGACACAGCTTCTAAGCGAGAAGGTAATCATCAAGAGAACAACACATTGATCTAAGGGTTTGCTTAGCGACGTGACAATAGTGCGTTCAAAATGTAAGGGAATGTTTTTTTTTTTTAAATACGCATTATTTCCATATGTTTCTTATTAATATCGGGGCGAAATTTAATGTAATTCGTTTTGTTGGTTTGGTCTTGTTTTCTATTCGTTGGAAATTGTAGTCCGCAAAATTTTCAAAATGAACGGTTTTATTGTTCAAAGTGCTTGTTTTGTTGAAAAAAGTGCTTATATGAAACTCTATTAATAACGAAACAAAAACACTGTAATGGGGCGCTGCCTACCATCAAATACCCTAAACCATTTCGCTTTATGCAGTTATTGATATGACGAGTTTTCAAAATGAAGTCTTACATGAGAAGTGTTTAAAAAATTGGACGGACGGATACACAAGCTTAGATCGATTCAGAGAGTGTTTCTGATTGCATCGATGTGTTAAAAGATAGGTCTATCTCAAGTCTTTCTATCCGCCCAAGCTTGACATGAACTTGGATCACACGGATGTAGGGTATAAAAATTTAATAGTTGATGTAGATGCATTGAAAACGTCAACATAGCGTATTGAAATAAATGTCTTGTCAGACGTCAATGGCAGCTTTTAGTTGCGGTAATTAATATAACAGAAAAATTTCACATTAATATACGAAGCACGTATTATGGTAATGAAAATTCTCCTTATTTTTTGAACACTATGGCATATTAAAGTTATCTGATAGAGCGGAATTCTTAAGAAGCTGCCGATGTATCCATAGTTGAGAAACAACTTTCGAAAGTAGTTTTAAAATGAATATAATTTTCTTTTATCCAAACAATGTCTGTAGCAGTAAATGGCTAAAGCTGTTTTTATACCCTCAACCACTTATGATACAAAACTATAAAAGCGACACCCAGAAGAAGGGGGAATGATTCTCAATCGGCCCAGGCTTGCCTGTCCGTTTGATTGTTTTGTTGCCTTGTGTTCAATCTATTTTTTAGACATTTTCATGAAATTTCCTAGACTGGTATTTGGTAGTAGTGGTGGTTGGTTCGCCAATGTAGTGTTTTCACTTGTTACACGTGATTTATTTGAGATAAGTTAACATTGCTTGCAGTTAAGTCGGACGTATTATACCACATTCTGATCAATACATCGCGAATAGACGAAACTCTTACTCCCCTATCCTGAAGTCTACGGAGCTTGGATTAAGTAAAACAGTCCGTATATGCTTATGATTAAACGGTCTTCTCATTCTATCTTTACAAATGCGATAAGTCATTATCAACACTAGGACCTCAAAAAAGACCGGCTGCGAAGCATATAATGTTCCAAAATTTGTTGGCGGCTTTTATTATTCAATCACTTTTCCCCTACGTGGTCTCGTTTTGATGACATTTACCCATTTCTTTCAGTTTGACTAGTGTTTTTGTCGGTTTACCACAGTTCAAGAAAGGAATATAGGAATCTGAAATTTTATCTAGACCCTCTCTAATCGATTAAGAATGTAATGTTAATAAACGGGCATGATCTGTCTATGTACACGTGCGCAATGTAGAAGAAACCGGTAGCAGGTTCTTCGAAATGTCCTCAATGATCCTTTTTGGTAGAACTGGGTACATGCAAAACGTCGGTAGGGGAGTGCTTGAGGATAGAGTCGTCTTAACTTTCTATTTCTACAAAATGTAAACTGTGTAAGAGGAAAAAGTGGTCTTTAGGATGACAATGAGAATTTGGACAAAGACGTCAAGATATAGATTTGAAAACTTTTCTGACTTTTTTCTATATCAGTGAGTAGTGCGTCTTTGCTAAAAGAAATCAACAACTCCGAAGATATATTTGGAAAGGAGGGGGGGGAGGTGTGTTGTAAAGTTCAATGAAATCTGTTCCGCTTTATTTGGGCGAAAAGAAATGAACCAATGAATCGTTAGGGACCTATTCAACGCAGCTCGACTGTAAATCAATATTGTATGCAATGTTTTGTTTTATTTAAAAATACGAATGCTTCACTAACTACAACAATTTTTCTTAAAGTTATCGTCACCCTCGTGCATACCAATTGGAGCGATGAGCAACGCGTTTAGCATATTCGATTAGTGATACTTGCGACATCTTTGTTTTTTATTTTATGTAATATGTATGCTCGCTTCTGAAAATTTCTACAATTGTTTGCATTTGTTAGATAATTTAGATCACATTTGCTATTGTTGTTATTGTTGTTGTAGTTGCGGTTGTTGCTTTTAATAAAGTGCGAATGCAAGCAAAACGATTTTGATGGCGTTGTAGATACAAAATTAATTCGTTTTTTTTGTATTCTTTTTAAATGTGTTTTATGTATGTGCATAAACAAATAACAGCTAATCAAAAGTTTTTAGGTTTAAGGTGTGTCAGCATTTGTTTTAATAAGAAATAATATATGAAAAACAAATTGTTGTATTTGTATTTACATATGAAGATGTTCGTTCGTTTAAAGCAGACATACTTTTAACCAAGAAATATATTCTGGGGAAAGCCTAAAACACATACAAAAGAACTATTTGTGAATTTAATTGTGTCCGTCCATCGGCAGGCTTCAATTAGCTGAGGGAGAAGCATTAATGAAAGAGCACTTTGTGAGAAGGGAGAAATTTCGATCGGAACAAATAATGTCTGTCCGTCTTTCCTGTGTGTGATGTTAAAAGATCTATAATCATAAGAGCAAAAATTACGCTTACCAGTAAAAACTTATAGACGAAGTAAGTTATGTCCATCTTTTATATCTGAGTGACCTATAAAAGACCTCTAATCGCGAAATGAAAAATTAAAAATTAATACCTTTGCTCAAAAAAAGATACTTAGCAATCAGATGCATCGAACGAGCCAACTGTTAGAGGTTAGGTTAGAAATCGTAGAATGACTTACAATCGCAAAAGAAAACTTTTATTAAGAGGACGTACTTCGACCAGTGTTAGATTCCTGGCGAATTCAGTTTGTGGTCTGTGGGGAATATTTGAAAGGGATTGCTTGCAAATACGAAGTAAATAATTCATAAACCAGAAGATTTTCTTGATTAGAGAAAAATTTAATTATAAGCATCCGTCAGTAACTATCTCTGCTCTTTATAGCGATTCTCATGAATCTCTATTTCAACTTGAAAAAGTTGAGGTGAGGTATATACGATGAATACGGTCTATTTGGTATATATTGCAGACCCCGCCTAGAATTGAGTTCAATGAGTTAACGGAAGCACTCCCAGTTAGACGAAATATTTTACAATTGTCATATATGCCCTTTCAAGGGGAAGAGGGCATCGAAAATTCGAGTTACGGTGAACCTAAAACCCTCAGTTGAGTTTTCTTTAATGACCACACACAACCTTGGCATCAATATTGTCGTTTATCAAATTTTGATTTTTAAACAGGGAAAGCATATCGCTGAGTAGCAATGAAAATCAATTAAAGTTTTCTTTTATCTTATTTTGTGAGGGTTCAAGGATATGATCGCTTGAAAAACTTCTTTCTCTCAGCCTCCCTAGGCTGCAGCATAGCTATGTTCATCTTCTGAAACTAGTTATTCAATTTATTTGTACGAATGCTGCTGTTGGCGTGTTTGCGTTTAGCAAAAGTCGTGTCGATCAAAACCCACTACGTAGTTAAACAAGTTATTTGACCTTAGTTGTATTTCGGTTTTAATAACAATTTCCTATAAATACTTAAGCATAAGCAAAGTTATGCTTTTATGTGTAGACAAAACCCAAGTTTGGCTTATGTTGCGTTTGTTTTGTTTGTTGTTACGTGCTTCTGTGGTTTTTCTTCTTTTTTTTTTTTTTTGAAATATTTTATTGTTTATTAATACCACTACCCGAGGTATGCTAACAGAATTTCTAATTAACTTTAATTTATTCGGTTTGACTTAAGAGGAGACAAAAGTTTAGCTTTTTTTTATTTTGTTTAATAATTTTTGTTTTTTTTTTGTTCATTTTAAAACTTACGCTCTCCGAATGAATGACTGGCTATTAATAATTACTTACTATTTAAGTTTCTCACAATAACACGCGATTGATTTTCGTTGTTATTGTCGTAATAATAATGCTCTTGCTCTTGCGGCGGCTGTTGTTGTCGTTGTTGTTGCTGTCGTTCCTGATTACCATAATGAGCATTGGCTATTTCTGGTTCATAATTATGAGCATATGCGCTACCCCAATGATCATTAAAATCTTCCTCCTCCAGTGTGAGTAAATGATCCAAGATTTGAACACCACGCTCAAGTGGCCCATGGAATTTATTAATAAAATCCGTGATACGTAATTGTAAACCATCCGTATCAGCGTTGCAGTGCGTTGTGGCCCAATAAAATAAATGTCTGCCCAAATGACTGCTTAAATGATTAGCGAATGCTTCAATCATTTTCGATCAACAATCAATTGAATGCAAAATTCTCTCATTATGGGGCAGGTCAGTCTGTCGTAATCAAACAAAGAAACATATATAATTTTTTACATTTTTTTAACAAAATTTTAAATCTGTAATTAAAAGAAGCTGAAAATTATTTGCTTTTTTTTCTTTCTTTTTCTTTTTAATACACACAGACATAATATTTATTTATTACTATGTGTTCATTTTCTCAATGCAACTTTCTTAGTTGTTGCGTGAAACGTTTGTATGTAAGTTTTGCTAAATCAATTCATTGCTTTCGCTCTGTCCCTCGCGTTGAAAACATGATCAAGTTGATCAAGGCCGGTTACCGTAAATGCTATCAAATCACTCGTTATATGTTTTGCCTGATCCCGTATACTTGTCGCGTTACGTTATTCAAGCAAACATTATATAATCAATGAAATGTAGGCTCAAACATAGTCAGTCAACTATCTCTGCTGGATAACCACATGTAAGAAGTGGTCAAGTCCTTTTTCTAAAAAAAATCTAGTCACCTTTTTGGTATCAGTAACATTTAGACTAGACGTCCAGTTGTTTGTAGAGGTACAGCCGATAATCTTCGCTTCTCGCTTTCCTTATTATTTTCTTTTTTCTTAATTTCATCAAAGAATGCTGTTCCTCAGTTTAAAGCAAGGAAGAATGCTGCAGTCAAGCAAGAACGACCCCACACCACTTTGTTTTTGTAATTAAAAATACAACAAATGTTGAGCTAAATTTAGAAGCCTTCAAAGTTCAAAGGCAAAGGTTTTATTATTTTTCACTTGCTTCCGTCGCAATATATCACAAATTAGTCGATATCGCCATAGAAGGGTTTGCTTCCATGAGAACCCCTATACATTATGGTGCGGTCTAAAAAATAGATGTATGCAATCCAAATGTTCTATCGTTGATTTACTAAGGACAAATTTTCATCATAAAATTTTAACACATAAACCTTTTCGGCATATAAAGCTTCATGTTATCGTTGGAACCCTTATTTGGATTGGGATCCAAAAAGGAGACCTATATGATCTAAATCCGCTAAGGCTGGTTTCTAAGTCACATTATTGCTGTGAATGAATCTTCATTAAGAAGTATTGAAAACGAGGACTTTTTAGCATTTCGATTATATGATAAGGAGTCAAAAATTGACCGCATCCAATCCATAGTGTTCGAACCAATTTGCATTCCGAAATACTATTACTAAGAGTACTTTTGTCCAGAAATTTTAAAAATTGCAATATTTTCTCTTGTAACAACCTAAAAAAATATGGGGAGTGGTCGAATAAGGAGACACTAGTGCACCGAACATATCTGGAAAGTTGCGGCTTGTACGTTGGACACAGAAAAATAAGACAGTTGGACGGACAGATCGGCTTAAATTGATTCAGAAAGTGAATCTATATCAATTGCAAGTCTTTCTGGATGTACCAGCGGGGTATAAAGACTGCCTTGATATTATTAGTAAGATTTCGTATCATATTTTCAGAAATTGTTTATTTTGTTGTTGTGAAAAAAAATATGTGTCCTTCAAGACTCGCACTTTTACATCTCAAACCTCAAATGCTAATAAATCTTTATTTTTTTTTTTTATGCAAATTTAGAAAAATAGTCCTGTTTTTGGTGCATTGGCCGGAGTGACATTATTTTCAATGGATTAATACCGCCATATCCCGCCGTGGCATTTCACTTGCTTTATGGCAATCTGTGGTTGGTAGGGAATTTTTTAAATTGTTGGTCTCGAATAAAAACCCTTTGACTTAGCGTTTTAGTTTAATGATGGCCTCAATACTTGGCGTACAACTTAGATCGATATCCGCTGTAGGTGGGAAATTATTAATGAAAGTGTAAATCTAGCGAAATTTTAATTTCTCTCTACTAAATATATATATATATATATATATATATATATATGTATATAAACATGAAAATTATTTAGCCGTCTTTCCTATACGACATCTGTACGACGTGCTGAATATGTCGTAGGTCGCGATATTATCATGGAAACAAAGTCGAAATCGTTGAATCGACTGATTAGTAAAAAACAGTCACATATCTGACCATTTCATCTCCTTCTCATGTGAGTTATGCATACACATAAAGTGTAAAACTTTTAAATTGAAGAACTTGAACTTGAAACTTGAACTTGGAACTTGGAACTTGAAAAGCAAGCTAAAAATGACTTGAATCAAATCGAGGATTAAACCCAAAGAACCCTATGTAAAACGAAAAAAAAAAGAAAACTAAGAATGCCTTTTATATCATTTATCTGACTTCACTGGATGCCAACCTGAAACAAAACGCCATCAAGCTTGAAGATTCGAAACAAAATTTCATGGCTCCAATCTGTTTCGAGTTAACTGCGATTCAAAGCGCGTGACTAAAGCGAGTCCACTTTTGCTCTAATCAAAAATAATTGTGATTTGTGAGGTCTTCGATGCTTATTAATCAATACTTAACATAACTTATAGCAATCAAAAGCGTCAGAGAATAGAAAGATAGGGTCAACGCTTGAATGGATTCAGATATTCACTCATACCACGAATAAACACATAGGGTTTATGAGATCTCCGGAGGAGCGTATTCCGAATAAAACAAACATATCTGCACCTTTTAGGGTAAACATGAAAGGATCAATCGTTAAATAATAAACTAACGGTGCTTCAGTTGCTTCTTCTCCTATCTACACAGCGAGTGAGAACAGATTACTAAAACACTACGGCGCAAGACTGAAAAAAGGTACCTTACGTTCTCTTCTAACGAAGAGCAGTTCATCCGTATCCCCTCAATGAAGTCCTACTTTGGATGCTTTTGTCTTTTGTCCCGCTAAAGAGGAGTCTGGTAATAAAGTTTTGTTGGTCTTTTGTTGCCTCGCTTTTCAGCGTTAAGTTGCTTACTTTGGGAATATACGGGTGATATTTTCGCTTGATAGTGTGGATTAAGGTCTTTTCATTCCATATTCACGTAATTGGAGTTTTTTTTCGCACTACAGTGCAAGTGTCGTTGGCATGGAAATGGCTCATTAGAATTGCATTTAGTATACTTCGCCCTTCTCTTGATTAATATTCTAAATGAAATTAACCCTTAAGGCCCTTTAAGAAAAAAATTATTTCTTTTTTTCATACAAAATCGACTTGAATTCATTATCATTTGTTTCTTTAATATTGTTTTCTTTAGCATATATGAACAACGGCTTTTAAGCGTGGCACAGACTTTTAAGCTTTTGTTCATACACGTTGCTACGACTTTGTACACGTTAATAGCACGTGAAAGTATGCGAAAGTTTCGAAATCGTTCGCTTTCTATGTCCATTAAATGTCATTTGTCAATGCGTTCGTAGATCGTGAAATATAAATAGCAACAAGTTCTCTTCAAGTGTTCTAAATTCATTCATTATTATGAGTTTGATATTTCTTAGGGAAATTATTTCTAAAACTATTCAGACGCTCGATGCACGCTGGTATATAAGTGACAAGTTACATGACAATAGCCAACCTTACGACAATTTCCCTCTTTCTTGTGTATGTTCATTCTATGTATATTCCAAGTGCATTCGTCCAAGAGTTTTGTCCACACACCGTATGAAGGTAAATGAGTTTTGCTTCTCCTTTAAATGGAAAAAGTTTGCTTCATATTTAGCTATAGTTGTAGTAAGGTTTTGAATCCTTTGAGGAGCGACCTGTGCAATCAGTTCGGAAGTAGTTCATGAAATCCATTGTTCAGTTATCTTAACATCACCTCCACGAGAGAGGACTCAACGCTTTATGAAATGCTTATGCAATTCTGCCGAAATACTTATGGAATTTCTTTGGGAATTAATGAAATTACTTCTACCATTAAAACTTCTCTATTAATTGGTGTGTTTGTGTGTGTGGATTAAGATTTTTGCAAATTTTCATAAAAGAGCGCTTTATTTTAGAGAATTTTATTGAAAATCGAAAACAGCCTGCAATCGTTAAAATTATACACTTGAGGTTCAGGAAGCTTCGGTGTGCATTTTGAATGTTTGCAGATGCAATTATTTATTTAACACGTCAAACACGTTTTTTTTTGTTTTTTTTGTTTTCGAATCTGTACAGCACTAGATATATTATTTTTGTTATTATTATATATATATATATATTTTTTTTTTTTTTTTTCTGAATAGCGTATGCTTTAATTTCTAAGTACACCTGTTAACCTAATATTTGAGACTTGAATGTGTTAAGATATAAATCGCTTGTTAAATGATTTCATATTGCTTTATTAAGTATGTATCGGTCTTGCAAATATTAAATAGATAGACAGATAAAGATAGATAAATCGATAGAGAAGAAAGAGAAAGGAAGGAAACCAAACTTGGATCATGATAAATGGCAAATACTTGAAATTAGATCTGATTACCTGTTAGGGTATAAAGCCATTACGAAATAACCCTTCAACTAAATAAGATAAACAAAATTTTCTTTAGCTCAAACAGAGTCTTACGTTACTCAACAGAGCGTTCACCTCGTCTCTTGTCTAATATTCTCAAATACATACATATTTTATTGAAAAAATATAAATCTGACGCAAATCTTTTGTCAAATACCAAAATACCTCTTTTTTGTCAAGGGGAGTAAGAATAATATGTGAACGTCAATTTCTGGAATGGGTTGAACGGAATACAATTTTTGTGACAATTAGTTTTGTTATAAATAAGGCATTTAGACAATTGCGAACTTATATAAGTACAGTTCATATAATATATTATACAATATTTATATATATATATATATTAGGTTGTTTGGAAAGTGATTTCGCTTTTTTCTTTTTTTTTTTTTTCTATGAAAATGAAAGACAACTTCCTCTTTATAGTGCCATTTCATGTGATTATGAACAGTCGGATTCGACATGTTTAATCTGATTGCATCAATGAATGCTGCCGTTATTTCGTCGTTATCTGCTCCAGATGGTCTTCTACAACGCGGTGCATCGTCAAGGTCATAATTGTCGGGTCGAAAATTTTTTTAATCCATTTTGGCCCTGACATACTGTCAATACCTCTTCTAAAATATGTCGGAAATCTTTCTTTTCACTTTCCATGTCAGACAACAATCAAACCTTTTCACGAGCAAGCCTTCCTATATTAGCTCTCATAACCATACAAATGCTTAAGTCGTTTAACTTTGAAGTTGGTTGAAAAAAAAATGCTATTAAGTCTTCTGTTGACGAAAAATGAAATACACGAATACACGAACACACACATGTATACATAAAACTTTGCTTATTTATAAATCTATATCTATATCTCTACATACATATAGATTTTCCCATTGTCTTTTCGTTTATGGTATTTGTGCCCGCCTCTCCTGAAATTATACTTTAATTGCAAATTGTTTTTGTTTAATTGAAATTTTTTCAAAGTCATATCCATTCAATCCATTTTTATTGACACTTAAACAAAGGTGATAAATGGCTTAACTTGCTACTTGTACTATTTAGTACTATTTAGTGCTATAAGAGATGTTATAAAGATTACCTAATCTTGATAAGTGCAGTATTTAAAGTTGACCCCCCCTCCCCCGCGGCTGCTGATGTCACCGATCTAAAATTTACAACAAATAAACTTCGATACCTCGACTAAGATGTTTAGGTAACCTAGTGACTGCCCGAAGAGAGCAGTTCTCAAAGCTGGTAAAAATGGTAAGGCGAGTGTGTTTACAGATGTGATCGATCAGCTTACACAAAGCCCACATAATGCAAATTCCAATGCATTAATTTCGGTAGTCTAGCCCTTAGCTGTGCATAGCAAACTGAAATTTAATACCATTGTTACGTTTCGTACTGAGTCGACGAAGCGTCCACAATGTCAGTTATTTGCCCTACATCATGACACCTAAAAAGATGGGACAGTGGCATTTTATCTGTTGAATTGCCAAATTTGATAAAGCAATGGGATATATAGAGAGATGTTTTCAATCTTTCTCCTCTAATTCGTCTCAATTTTAAAAGAGAGTAGTTCTTAAAAAAACTTGTTCAAAATTCCATATCGGTAGCGAGTGTGTTGAAGGCCTTAGGGTCCTATTAAAAATTTATGCAGAAATTTATGTCGGTGAAAGGCATAGTTTGCAGAGCCCATTATTTTCACAAAAAAATAAATCGATATCACGAACAAGATGATGGACTTGATCTACTCGTTATAAAACGTTTGCAAAATTGTTAACTTATTTATACAAATTCGGTTAGGTAATCATTGCTAAGATAGAAACAAAAAAATGTTTATACAAAAATGTTAATTGCTCTCTTTATATGCCTAAGGTAAACAAAAACCTACCTAGTTCGAGTGAGTTGATGTTAAATTCGTCTCCAAGTGCATTATGAATGCAGGCGGATTAACTCAGGTTCTCAAATAGGGTTAACTAAAATTTCTTTCTACACCTGATATTTACTCTATCTAAGACTCGTTACATGGTTAATAAGATTAGAACGAAAAAGTTGCATTTATAATCAGACTTGCATGTGGGCACATCTGTCGTTTGGAAGCATATACTTAGTATTAAGTAATAATTTTTTTTTATTCATTTTTTTTTATATTTGTGTTTATAAGATGACTACTACTTCTGGCTTTATTTTGCTCTATTACAACACATACTACTCATTAATAATAATTTATGACGTTTGTCTGTGAGAAGTAAATATAGGAAAAAATCCATTTTTTATTATTATTTTTTATTGTCTTATGCTCTTCTTTCTAACTCATGAACACGTAATACTCAAGCGAAGATTGCGTTTGCTTTTCATTTTATTTATTTATTTATTATTATTATTATTTTTTTTTGTTTTTTCTTACAATTTTATCTAACAATTGATTTTGTAAAGTTTTCAAGAAATGGGAAAATAATGGCGCCAACTAATAAGCTTTACAGGCTTTATCTAACTATCAACAATTCATGACGTAAGAGATATGTTGAAAACTGATTTTGTGATAGGTATCATTAATCTCGTGATACAATTCTCTTCAAAAAATAAAAATAAATATATAAGAAATCAGTGTTGTGAGAACAATAACGACAAGCAATAAATTGCGTTTTAGACCATCCACTAATTAAAGATTCTATCTGCCCCCAATGATGATATTGATTGCACTTAGATGCCTGAAGCGCAAAAGCAACAATCGGTGATCTTTTTGAGATCGGAGTTAGATTCTGATTTTGACTTAAATCCGTGCCTTTGTCCACTTATATGTCCGTCGGTTTGTCCAGTTGGTTCTATATCCGTCTTCCTCATCGTCCAAGAAAACTTTTTTTCTATTACATATTCATTCTATTATGGGTATCCAAGTAAGGAAGCGTGGATCTAAGAACTGCTAACGGGACGAGAGCATAACAGCAGGCTGTGCGAATATTTCGCGAACATTGAAAATTCATGTGGATATTAGTAAAGTGTAATCTGGGGTGGATGAAATATCAAGCAGAAGTGTGACGAATGTCAGCGGTACAAAAACTTTGCTCCCTTTGGTTTTTCTTTGTCTCCCATAATTGTGTGGATGTTCAATACGGAGGTGGAAGGATAAGCCATGCCTTCCCTAGAAAACATAAAATGATCCACATCCATGGTATTGGTCTGGTCCTTTAGGAATAGTGTAATATAGCGTAATTGAAGGGGTTTGTACGATGCTGCAAGCTACGTTAACGCTTCATATCAACCTGTGTATAATCACTCGTTCATGGCAGAAGTCTATGTAAAACACATAAAGTAGCCCATGTATCCCCCAATCTATCTGTTTATCGGTTTTCGGCAAGGATGTGGTTAGAGAGGAAGCAAGCATCTATCAGCACAGGTTCATTTTTTGGCCGTGTTTGTACAGCAGTCAAGCAAAGGAAATCTTGCAAGATTAGTCCTGACAGACGCGATTGTACTTTAACTGGTGGAAAAGACACAAGTGTCTGATTGTAGATTGATTAAGATCTCCCATCAAGGATAGACAAAAATATTAATTGTCTTTGGCAGAAAGGATGGCTTACTATAGCAGATATCTCATATTGGATTATCATGCTGTAGCCTAACTAGCTAATGCATTCCCAATCTAGGAGAAGTGACTGTGGTCTAAAAATTTATAATTCATATATATTAACATTTACTCCCCGTTTCCCCGAAATCCTTGAATTAAGTTTTATACCAACTGTGAAGATATCTGACTGTGTTTCATTCTGTCTGTTTCTTTATACACAGACATGTGTCTATATGTCTGTTATCTATTATTAAAATGTTCAAGGCTGTAAAATTTGAAATAGAGAGATAAAATTTATTTGATTTTTTATAATTACTTAATAATGTTCAAAATCTTTAAATTAAGCCTTGAGCTGAGAGATTCATTCGCGATATAATGAATAGATTGTAGAAAATTATATACGAAATATAGGAAATTAAATTATTAAAAAACTATTTATAGTAATCTTAATAATTAATATGTGACAGAAAATATATCCACCATGGGCAGTATATTAAGTTTCTCACACAAAAATACCCTACGAAGAACTTACAAGTTAAAAATGTTTAAACAAGTTTTCTAACACATAGGGGGAAAAAATGGAAAGCAGCTCTTAACCACTTCACGACGTACGTGTCGTGTATGTTTTTCAATTAACGTGTGGGTGCGCATTGAAACGCCTGAGTCTGCGTAGCGTTCCTCTGATATCTGAAAGTTTCAGTATCGCAAGAATTGTGATCAATCTGTCATTATAATTAAAACGTGGCCTGACTTGAAAGAAACCCTTTATTACTTAATATTTTCGCTAACGATGAACGAAAGCTTTAGTAGACAGATATGTATCTAGAGTTTAACGGAAATATTCATCAAAGTTCTACTGTATAAATATGATCCCTAAGAATACCTTAACTCGCTCATAAAAAAAAGAAGAAAGAAAGAAAGACGTCAGTCTGCTTTTTCCAGTAAAATTTATTAAGAATTTAAGACTAGACAGTTAATGCTCTTCAGCAGGCCTTAGCAAACTAGCTTGAGATAGCTTGCGGTTCTAGCGCCTGTGTCGCCAAGTCGCCGGTTTTTACTTTAGCTTTTGCCACCGGTGCAGGCAGATGGACGGACGGACGCCAACGGCTTAATCCATATGTACTACCCATTCGCGCACTGATCAAAAGTAAGCATTACTTGTGTCACCCATAAGTAATCAATTATTTGCAGAGACTTTTTCTTCCATTTAATTCTTTACCGGTAGTTAAGGCAGTTGAACAGTTTTGCCTACAACAGCCTGTGTAAATAGAAAACATTCTATATAAAAGTGTACTTCTTTTTTTACTACCCTATAAAAAAAGCGCGGCGAGCGTATATTCAGAGACCCACATTCATCATAGCATACTGCTTCACTTTCGTGCGAGCTTTAATCGAAAGATCAACAAGTGCCGACGTTGGTTGAGAAGGTTTGCTGTTAGTGATTATGGGATGTCTGACACGCCTCGGAGAGAACAACCGTCCTCTTTTATTTGTACTTTATTTACATAGTGTTCGAGAAAGGTTCCTGGGTTCAAGTACATCCCCAACTGTCGGTAGTGTTTGCAAAAACAGGGACATTCATAAGTGCGCATATCGCAGAGGGGTCCCAAGTTTAGCGTAAGATAAATGCCTTAGTCTTTTCATTTGCACACAATTTGCGGGTTGGGTATATATATATATGTCCGATTGCTTCAGTGTATATATACCGAACTAACTTATCAAAATTTTCCAATAGTCGGAAAAAAAGAAAAAATCAAAAGGATAAAAGGATTAGTAGCTTTGTACGCTATAGCATTATCTGTGGTGTGAATTAATAGTTTAAGCTTCACTTATATAAATTTGTTTTTAATGCACTTACACAATTAAATTAATATTTATTTATCATTTATTGAAATGCAGTCTCTTTTTACCGGGGTTTTTATATTGTTTAATCCATTAATTTATAAATATTTTCTTATATGTTCACCCGTTTGATATGAATTTTTTCCATGCATCGAAACAGTTATTGATTTTTTAAATGAATTTGGATTTATGTGTTATAAGTATGACTGCCACGCTTTAATAAAGCGGAAATTTTTACATTTTTTATGCCCGCTACCGAAACTTAATCAAATATAGTAACTTGGTCAACACGTTTGTAACCAGCAGAAATAGGAGTCTAATCGAACCGAACGCTATATATGAAGTATGCTTTAGAAAGCGTATTACTATTAGAGATAACTTGAAAGACTAAAGGCTTAGAGCACTAGCATTCGGGGGTTGTCGGCACTATTGAACAATATAGCGCGTTTGCGATTTGAAACCACGACCGATATTGTTACTTTACTCGACTACTCGAGCGGAAGACTAGGCCAGATTGTAAGAGTAAGCAAAGAGAATGAGCGATTGGAGGGAAGAATATTTCTCTCGAAAACTTAGTATTTCTAAGTTAAACTTGGACTTAGTACATGGCTAGACTTGGCTTTATACGACGCGCCTGTTTCTTCGGCCGTCCGTTCATGTGGGGAATAGAAGAAATACAATCGCTTAGGATACAATCGAACGTTTTAGAGATCTAGTCTTATAGAAATTTTAACCTTCAGTGCGTTTATCTAAAAGAGGAGATGGAAGAGGACCAACGCAGACGTTCAAAATGTTTGCGATCTTTCCATTATTATTAAAGTGGTGACGTCTCTTAGGCAGTGTCTGATAGGTGTCAGACATTTGTCGCAAGGCGACTCTTCCGATTTCCATTAATACGCCAAACCGTATATATGTGAATTTTTCACAATTTTTATTTTTACTATGATTTTTATTAAAAGAAAAAGTAAAAAAAAAATCACACACCACCATAACATCCATACGTTAGTCAGATGTAATTGCCGGTATAATAATGTTTATGTAATTTTCGTTTTTTCCACAATTGTTTTTTCGCTCACATACCGAGCGTAATTATTAAGTATAAGTAACTTAGTGAATAAATTATTTATTGTTTATCTTTTATTTATTTACTTGTTCAAAATTTTGTTTTGTTTTTTACATTATTTGTATTTTTCTATTTGTTTTTTTTTCGTATGCGTCGACGCATCTACTTTAAACACTTTTTTTCACATTTTCTTAGTGTTTTTTTTTTCTCTTTTCTGCTGCTTTTTATACTTTTTTAAATAATAATAAAATTGTTTTTTTTTTTTTTATTTTCATTTGATATACATATATACGGGGTATAATGGGATGACAGATATTTATGTATTGTGTGTTAACAAGTCAACGTTTGATTTCGTTATGATCGTCGTTTGCAGGTAATAAAAAACTGTTATTGATATTCGTGCTCGCAGAGCTGAAGGTGTGTGTTTTCGTTTAAGTTCTCACTTTAAGCATAACTCATGTTATACTCTACGCTCCGTGTTTGCCGCCATAAATGCTCTCGCGAGTTTCTGTTGATAATCAAGTACTGCGTAGAGGATTTGCTTTAACGTTTTTATCTTAACATGCAATTGCCTGCTGTTAATTTCATATATATACATATATTTTTGTAGGTTAATAGTGTTTGTTATGGTACTTCATACTTTCGCTTGTTTTAACACTTGGGTGACACTTATAATGTTGGCATAATGTTGGCTTTTAATGGTAAATTGCATTTCGTACACAAATCTTGTGATATCTTCAGTGCTTTTTTTTGTGCGGCTACTCTTACATAATGACCATGGCTTGATTCCTCTTGTTACTTCATCGACAACAGCCGTCGTCTGCTCCAGCATGCCGATTATATGCATGTCGTTTGAATTTTAAAAATTTAATTTTAATTTTCAAATTTTTTCCTTTTTTTTTTTTTTTTTTGTTTATTAAACGAAAAGTTGTTTGCTTAAAAAGTTAGAAATTTTCAAGGTTTTTTCTCTTCTCCCAATTCAACTTCATTAATTCTCTTATATTTATTCAATTGTTCGTTCAGCATTCCTAGTCTGCTTGAGTGACTGCTTAGCATTAAATTGTCGCAGCATCGTTAACATTTTAATTTGATAATCGCTTAAATTTGAATTAAGTTCTATTCAGAGAAAATATTTTCTCAAAATTCCGTTGCTACTAAAACTGTCTAAATCAGACGGCGATGACGATGATTACGATGATACTCATGGCTCTGTAGAATCGTTAACTCGCTGATAATATGCTTTAGCCAAACACTTGCACTCTCTTGTAGAAGGAAATTTTTGTTCAGTTTCCCTTCAAAAAAATGAAGTCACACTGGCTTTGTCTCTTCTTTGGTAACATTTGCAGCAAGCTCGCAAAAGCGTATTCCAAACTTGGGTTGCCCATCTGTGCATCCTCCCTCCCACATTGGAATCTTCCAATCGCAGAAATTTCTATCTTTCCGTCCTCTGAGATAAGATTTATTGTGCATGCGAAACGTTGAAAAAGTGTTTTAGGTAAACACTACAGATTACGTTTAAAATAGGCCTTAGATCGCTAACTTATCAAAACCAAAAAGGCTACAAAAGTTGAAAATCTTGATGTGTCACTGTTGTTGTCTCCGATCGCCTTGCTAAAAGTATGGAAAATTGTTTTGAATTTACATTCATTTGAAGTGATATAAATACCCAAGCGTCGCTCTAGGTTATATACACATTTCTCACTCCTCTCTCCCGTAATATAAAAGACTCGGGAAAAGGAAAAATTCTTCTAAAATTATTTATTAAAATCTAAATGAATAAATAGCAAGTCAGTAATTTGTTATACAACTTGAGCACTTTACTCGTTTTTTGTTCACTTATTCGGTTTTTATTTATTCTTTTTTCACTCGTAATGAAAAATGATGGCGGTGATGTTTAGTATTTCATAGTATGGCTGCATCTTCAACGTGACATTTCAAATATTCTTTCAAATGCCTTTTAATTAATGATTATTTAATACAAGAAGATTTTCTCTTCTCCTATTTCTTTTTTATCAGGTTATACTTTTCAGCTAAACTAAATATAAATGTTTCTGGTTTATTAGTATTTTTTGGCGACAGAGAGAGAAATGCATGAAATAAATCTGTGGAACTTTTTTTTTAATGAAAACATTTTTTAATTATTCATTAAACGAATAAGAAGCACAGAATGGAAGGCTCGTTGCTAATCTGGGTTTGTTGATGTTGCTTTAATTTTGTTAAACCGTCTATATAATTTGTAAAGCTCATTAACACTCCCGTAAAAGGCTTCGCTCAATAAGTTCGTAGGATGTAGGACGTAGGACGTGGAGATGTTAGATGTAGATGCAAACTATCCATATAGTGTGTCAACTTCGGCAACACATTTATGTAATCCTACTAACCTATCGATGTCGTGACACAACATTGTTTTAAAAACCCTTCTCAGACAAGCTTTTCGATCGTCATTTGCCCTAGGCACTGTAAGGTATTGAAATGTCCAGCACGCGCCTCATAATGTATTTACATTTTCAATGAAAATCAACAGCAGAATCCATGCAGTCATACTTATATAAAGAAAAAACACTCATCTGAAATTTCTTCCTTTCACTCTCGTGAATTTCCGAAATCAGCGAAATCGTTGGGTGGGTTCACCAACAGTAAGCGAAAAGTTAACGGTTTTTCCACATTTCCTAAACGAAGCCCTGAAAAGTTTATAACCTGTACGATCGAGCTCCAAGTGGGAATATAAGATTTTTCTTACATGTCAAGTTTGAAAAACGAGTGAACTAAATCAAAAGGAAACGTTCCTCTATATTTACCATAATGCAAATATGGTTCTTATTTCTTACATCTACCTGCCAAGTTTTATGAAATAATACAAGCCAGTAAAGAGACTATTTTGGGCCACGGCCCACAATTGGATATCGAATATCACCCTACAGTTTCTCATATAACAACATCTTGAAAAAGACATTAAATACGAAGTGATCGCATAAGTGGTTCGAGCAGAACCAATTTCAATAGCGTTTGTTCTTGGGCCAAAACACATCCGTGTATCAAATTTCATCAAAATATCTCAAAAATTGTGCCTTATAGGTTGAATACAAGAAAACAAGACAGGTAGACGGACAGGCAGACCTAAATCGTTTGAAAATGTGATTCTGTTTCGATCGGTATAATAAAATGTGAATCTATTTAATGTCCTTCGCACACACTTAATACAACCTTGTATATAAACGATCAACGTATCGCGATCGAGTGAATGGATCTTTGTTCTAGGTTGGAATCAAATGTCGGCCACAACCTAGTGATGATCATTACCTAGTGGTGATTACTTGAACAAAGCCAAACGTCATTTCTTTGCTGTTCCTAGAAGACAAACTCCTAATCAACGTTAAGTATATCTGGTGAATTTTTTAACCTTTTCTCGCTCTCTTTCGTTTTTCTCTCTCGTCGTTTTAAATAATCTCTTTACAAATTCAAGAATTGAGGGTCGCTACTCACTTAAAGGCCCCTGAAATTTTAATTATCTTTTCTTTTGAAACCATGTCTTTTGAGTCAAGTGTTTCTTTTACGCTTTCCATTACAATCGGCAAACATAGACCGATGAAATGGTGAAATTGTCTATTAATAGCTTAGAAAGTAGATCCAACGTGAAGAAGACATTACGTACTGTTTTCCCGACCTAGGGGCCTTTCGACAAAAATTTTTATCCTGCCTGAAAGTGCTAAGCGCTAAGCCTGTATCTTGCAGCGCTTTTGCTTTTAAGAGAATAAATATGTAAAGTAAATTAACGATGAGATAGAGAGCATCCGAGAGCTGAGCAGACCTGTTCACCCCTTTCTGTCTTAAGTATAAATTATTCGCGATTAAGTCTTAGGATCGAAGCTTTAAAAGATCAAAAATAAAGTAAAAAATAGGAATGACCAACGCTCTTTCCAGACTTTTTCGTCACACAGTCTTGAACATTAAAAAACCAACTTTATATATGGGCAAGATCACTTATTAGACACCGTACATCTTTTAATTTAACATCAGTGTATACTTGTCCACAATCTAAAATACCCAAAATTATAAGTTTTTCCCAACATAGTCCAAATCTATCAAGGGCCCTACTATTATATTAGCTTGGGGAAAAAGAAATCCATTATTTTTTCGGTAGATGGCTGCACTGATAGATTTCTCGTAAAGTATCGATCAAACAATTTCCGATACTGTACATTTCGCAATAAAATTGTGAATGGTGTTTATGGTTCCGATACTGTAACAGCCAATTATGTGCAATTTTGGTTTCGTAGATTCCGTTCAGGAATTTTTGATGTTAAAGATGCACCTCGCACAGGTAGGCCGGTCGTCGAAAATGTCGATAAAATCGGAGAAATGATCGAAGTTGACCGGCGTGTTAGCAGTCGTAACATCGCCCAGGAGCTAAAAATCGACCATAAAACAGTTTTAAACCATTTACACAAAGCTGGATTCAAAAAGAAGCTCGATGTTTGGGTGCCACACCAATTAACAGAAAAAAACATGATGGATTGAATTTCCATCTGCGAAGTCTTGGCCAAACGGAATGAGATAGACCCGGATGGTGACTGGGGATGGTGACTGGAGATGAGAAATGGATCACATACGATAACCCTGTGCGAAAACGATCGTGGTCAAAGAGCGGTGAAGCACCTCACAAACGGTCAGGAAGGTTTTGCTATGCATTTGGTGGGACTGGAAGGGGATTATTTATTATGAGTTGCTTCCATATGGCCAAACGCTAAATTCTGATCTCTACTGTCAACAAGTGGACCGTTTGAAGATAGCGATTGACCAGAAACGGCCAGAATTGGCCAACAGGAGAGGTGTCGTGTTCCACCAGGATAACGCTAGGCCACACACATCTACAGTGACTCGCCAGAAACTTCGGGAGCTTGGTTGGGAAGTTTTAATGCATCCGCCATACAGTCCGGACTTGGCACCAAGCGATTATCATCTTTTTCTTGCATTGCAAAATTTCTTTAATGATAAAAAATTGGATTCTAGGGAGGATTGTGAAAATCGACTACTAGAGTTTTTTGCAAATAGAGACCAGGACTTCTATGAGAGAGGCATTTTGAAGTTACCTTTAAAATGGCAACAAATCATACAACAAGAAG